TCTGCCCCGGGCCCCCGCGGCCGCCGAGGGAGCAGGGCGGTGCCTGGCCTGCAGGCGGGTCCGCGCGGGTGCCCCGTCGGGGCCGCCTTGCTCCCAGCACCGGGGCCCGGCGCGGTACAGCGCATCCGCGGCCCATCGTCCTGGGCGGGCGCCGCTGCTTGCAGCCCGTGCGGCGACGGGCAGCGTCTCGCTGCTCCCGCGCTGCGCGGCCTTTCGCCGGCTTGCTAGGCAGCGCCTTCAGCACAGTCCGTCTGCAGGGATCGCTGCCACCTCCTTTTCACTCCGCAGAGAACTCCCCAGAGCTGCCCCTGCGTGTGTGATGGAGGCAGGCAGAGTGAGTGCTGCAGGGAATCGGTATCAAGCATCTTCACTGCGGTTTTGTCCAGCATCCATTAAAGCTGGAATTAAACAAACAAACAAGTGAGGTTCCATGAAAAAATGACAAGGAAATTATATTGCAGGGATTTCTCTCTGTTTGCCTTGAATTCAGGTTGATGTCACCTGGTCCTGCAAAACATGCCTAACCCTCTATGAATTTAAAGATCCCTGGCCTCCACAGAGAAAGTAAAAAAGACCAAGGCTAAATTGATGCAGTCTTCACAGGTTAGTCTAAAGCTGCATAGGTTGAGCCAATAAAAAAGTGAACAGACACCAGCTTTTGATTCCTGAAGTGCAGCCGCAGCCATGCAGTGGTTCAGACCAGAAGCAGCAGGTAGAGGGAGGGGCAGAGCATGCCGCTTGGGCCAAGGCTAGCGGGGTTGCAGGGAAGGTCCAAAGCATCCTGGGGGGGGGGGCTGTGAATTAATAGGAATTACCACCTGATCAGATGCACTAAACCTAGTAGTTTTGTTTTTAAGCTACTAACTAGTTAAATTGGTTTAAAAGTGTAATCTGCATATGTTTTCACTGAATCAGTAGAAACTGAATCAGTGATCTTTCGTTACTGTTTAATACAGAAAACATGCTCCCCACCTTTCCCCCAAAGAATGCAGGTACCATTTCAACAGATTTCTGCGCATATTTACATTTTATCACTGTGTTTAAAGCCTATGGATTGTAACTCATTCATGCCTTTACAATCATGGTATAAAAACAACCTATTATTTATTTTACATTTTCAGTAACTCCCAACTTTCTTATGTTCAGTTTTGACTTTACTTTGCAATTCCAAGGTACTGATTTGTCTAATTTAACATGGTAAGCCGCTAGACATTTTAGGCTTTCAAAATCAGAGAATTTTCCATCATTGAGGGAAATTTTCCATCAATTTTCCATTCTTTGCATTACAGTAATAACATTAGCTAACCACGTCAGTTTGCAGTCCAGTAAAGGCAGTGGGTATGCAGTATTTGCAAAGTTTTACCTGTACTGATATGTTATGTTCTAAACATGAAATGTGCTTTTTCCTCAGGGAATAATTTATAATTTTCCATTAATGAACACTGCTCTGTAGTCCTGTATTCTATTAAAAGGCCATATTTGTTATTGGTTCATGTTCTCAACTACTTCTACCATATATGAACAGAACTTTCAGGAAGACTTTTCTTTCTACTTTCATTGCTATTTCTATTTTCTCAAGTCTTTTCCTTGTGAAACAATGCCTCTTGGATTTCTACTGAGCACCAGATCTACTGAGCACCCAATTTGTATTTCACTGATTCTACCAGCATGTACAGATCTAATTAAGATTAAATCATGTATCCTGTATCAGTCAGTCTCTCACCAGCTCATTGTATTACAAACACAATAGGGGCTTTTCATGAAAAAGTCACAGCAATCCAAATGTATGTGTTTGAGAATTAAGTCAGTCTACTATGCATCAACCAGTTCATATTATTCTTTACTGTAAGTATCAAAGGAAACATTTTTTCAAGGATATTGTACATTTCAAGTTTTTCCATAGTCTTTACAAAAATCACCTTGATTCTCTTCCTTTTGCCACCTGCTGGCAGAGCCCCCCTGCAGCGTTGTGCAGCCCTGTCTGCCTGAGACCCAGCACCACCTGTGCCACATAGCACAGGCCTGCCTCGGCTTGACCCGGGAGCATGCACCTTTGGGCAGGACTGGGCAGCTCTTTGTCACTAGAGTCTCGACACGGCACACCAGGCTCCCTGCCTTCATGGAGCCGGCCTGGCCTGATACGAGGAACCACTTGCAGGGTATGATGGGCTAGGAGGAGGGGTAGAGGTAGCAGGGATGAGAGAGAGAGGGATGGGGGTAGGGGAGGACTTTGGGTCAGAGAGGTGGCTAGAGCTGGGCTTAGAGCCCCCCTTTTTGCCTAGAGCAGCCTGTACAGGGGGAGGCCAGCCTGAAAGGAAAGGAGCTTGCTCAGCCCAGTCCCTGAGCCCCAGTCAAGGGCTTCCCAGGAAAGGCATGGGGAAGCGCTGGGGCCTGGGCACAGACAGGGAGCAGAGCAGCAAGGGCTGGTACTGCTCACAGCCACAAAGCAGTGGATGGAACAACTGCAGCTGGACGCATGTCCTGGTGCTGGGAGGGAGCTAGTGGGGGCAGGCAGGACACTGGGATATCAGTGCTTCTCAGCACCCCACATCCTGGTGACCAAAGTGGAAAGGGGCGGCTCTGATTTTTCTATGATGAAAAAAACAAAGGAAATGCTAAAGTGTATAGGATATTTAGAACTTGTTTATTATGATGATAGAGGCACTGCTAGGCTTCCAAATTGCTTTAAAATTGTAAATATATCAATAAAGCATTGCCCAACTCTACATATAGTGGTGTTTCATTTTAAATCACAAAATAACAGAGATTTGGGGTATTTTAATGAGAGAATTTGGGTTCATCAGAGAATCTGGAATTTTTAAATGGGGAACACCAGGATCTTTACTGGTGAGACAAGTGGCAAGATGTAGACAGAGGAGCCTGGGGAGGGGAGCTGGGCAGGGAACAGGTTTCCCAGCCCCCACCAGGAGGGAGCTCCTGGTGCCAGCTCTGCGACTGTGGGACTCATCCTGGGAGATCCTTATCGCCCAGGCTGAGCTCCTAGGTCTAGGGGCTTGGACCGTGGAGCCAGCGCTGAGAGATAAGTGTCTCCCAACTCAAGGCCCTCCACCACAGAGCTCAGGCTGGGAGATAAGGATCTCCCAGTCCTTGGTTCCCTATCGGAGATATCTGAGCAGGGGTTTTGGAGTTCCCTGCTTCCAGAGCAGGGGGGACATAGTCCCCGCCCAGGCTCCTGTGGCAGAGTCTACCCCTGCAGTAGGCAGCTCCTAGGGGCAGGGAATTATTTTCTACCTCCTGGTGGATGGGTGACCGGGAGTAGATTTTGTTCCCAGTCAGGCACCTACATGAGCACTATTTGTGCCATTACTAATCGTGAGTAAATTTGCTACTTGTATTTGCAGATAGCAAAATTTACTTGGGATTAGAGAGGTTTACTGCGAAATAAGCATGTGCATGTTTACAAAAACTCCTACAAATCATATTGTACAGGATATACTTAATGTAAACAATTTAGAGGACTATAACTTCATTGTTATGTAGAGAACAAGAAGGACAAGCATAATTAGTGTGGAATCAGAAAAAAAATAAATGCCTTAAACTTTGATTATTTGAGTTATAAGATGACATGACTGCTTTGTAGAGAATTGCTGGCTCTGTACAGTAGAACAGATAAGGGAAAGTGTTTGTTCTTTCCAACTCCTCTGCAACTGCTTCACTCACCGCGGCCTTGAAGATAGCAAAAAGTATGTACAACTCTGATTTCCAGGTGCAAGAAGGAGGTTTGTGAACTAACCTCGCCTCCCCCATAAGGTCCCATCTTGATTACAGCAATGAAGTAATGTTTATAGCTGCTTTTTATGCTAATTTCACTATATAATTACATGAGTTGTAAGTGATTGTTAAAAAGTATATAAGCCTCCTGATTTTGCTTTTGGGGGGGGACCCCTTCTAAGTGCTTGGGAAATCTATGTCACTTTGGAATCCCCCCTACAGCTGTAGTTTTTTTTAAATAAAAGCTTTTGTTAACCTGACTCAAAAGTATGCTGCGTGTGTTTTCACAACAATTCCTGGTGCTGTGACTCGGATCCAGAACACGTGCTGAAGAAGGAGGACCACGGACTGCCCCCCTCCAAACCCTGAGGTAACTGGATCTGAACCTTGTTAAAACAGGTCAGTCTGAACCTTACTGCCGGCTAAAATTTTCTGTCTGGTAAAGGATCCCATTTTGTGTTTGGTAACGTACGTTTTATTTAGGGAGAAACTGTATGAAGCACCTTCATCCTACAGCACATCGGGCTTGTCGTTAATTAACTAAGGCGGTGTGGGGGAGGAGGTCTGGCTGACTGAATGAATGTGCATGTGTGTGTATTTAGAAATATGAGCCACTGACCAGGTCTGAGACTACGGTTGGGTTCAGCCGCCCCAATTCTGCCTGACAGGGCAGTTTTGAAAGCAAGGGGGCCCAACTGGAACCTCGTGACCCAGTGGACAGGGCTTCCCAGTGATTGAATAAATGTGCGTGTGTGCATTTAGAAAAATGAGCCA